ATTATTATTATTATTATTATTATTATTATTATTATTATTATTATTATTATTATTATTATTATAACTGCTTTCAACTACTGCCTGCAACTGATCACCATTCCTTGCGACTACGTCCCATGTTCTCTACGTGAGAGAGAGTGGGACCCTGCGACCAGGGCCCGGCAACTCTCTATCAAAACTGGGGACAAAGCTCGAGGTTGCTACCTATAGGAAGCGCTAGTGTCCCCAGGTGCAGCTGCAGGTTAGGCTCGCCAACTTTCCAACATACAAATTGGCTAATTTGTGAGAAATACGAAAAGTGTCTTTTAAATGTACTATTATTCATAATCTATATTTATAAAAAACCTCTGAATAATGCGGGAATATAGACGTTATCTTTTGTAACATTATGGGCCTGCTTGCGACCCGCGAACTCACACAGTAGCCGCGTACGTTTAAAGTATCGTTGGTAGCAGTTCGTGTTTTAGTTCATGTAAAGAAGGCGATGCAGCAGAGCGCGCCACCGTAATGGTCTCCACCACGTTATATGGGAGTTATAGGGCCCTGCCTGCGACCCTGTCCTTCGGACTACGAATCGTGTATTTATGAATGGTTATTAATGATATCTTTTTGCCCACTCAGCTGATATACCCGAAGTTGTCCAAGATAAACTTCTTAGCCTAGTTGGGAAGCTGTAGTACTTGGTCAAGCTGCAGAAATATCAAAATATGAGTACGAGTATTAATAGTCTTAAAAGCATCTGCGAGCAGTACTGGCTGATAATGAGTCATATTTGTGCGTGCTCTGGCGTATTTGATGCAATGATTTGATGACGTTGCGTAGTCGTAGTTGCGTAAAATGATGGATTTGTTCTTTTGGTTGTGTTTTTTTTATTTATTTAATAATATATCTTCCAGAACTATTGTTTTCAAGTGATATTCGGGAAAAGATTCGAACCTTTTACTAAGTTTTTTGTTTTATTTTAAAGGACACCTTTTCAAGCAGGTGTCAAGATTCTTGCATCCTGCTCGCTGTCAGCCACACTTTGCTCCATTTCGAATCTACAATCGCTACGACACGAAATTCTGTTTCTTGTGACCGTCAGTTCATTGTCCGTTCATTTTATTTTGCTATCGTGAAAAATTTATCTCAATGTGAAGCTTGAATCACATCTACAAAGTATGTTTTGCATCGGAAATTAGTAAATCTAGAAAAAAGTTCACTCTTTCATATGAAAAGTATAGACAAGAATAAACAGCATAAATTCAAAAAGGTAAGTGACCAACTTGTTTCTGTTATATCAGGGTTGTTGTTTTTTTAATAGGGTTTAGTGAGCAAATACTCTTTGTAGATTATTTTTGAGAACAAATTTCAAAGTGGCTTTTGGTTGTAACATTCTAAACTATGAATTATATCATTGAAAGCTTCTTCAATTTATTTGGCAATTTATTCAAGTTGCAATCAGTTAAACATTTAAGGTTTCAGTGAACATCAAACAACCCTCATTAAATCTCTCTTGACAATGTATACAGCTTATGGATTCATAACAGAAGTTTGCCCACCCAAATAAAATTACTTTTATTATCAGCTGTAGTAAGATATCAAGAATATCTGCAATCCACCACCCTATTTGACTGAAAATGAATAGTATTCTTCAAAACATCATCTATAATAATAATTGGGATTTCTTTAGGGTCTTTGATCTTTCAGCCAGAAAATAATTTTTTTTAGGATAAGGTGAATGTGCTTAGGGATGATACGGGTACGTTCAGGTAACTGGGCCCATTTGGTATCAAGGACATACCTTTGCTGTTCTCCCTAAAGTTAAAGGAAGCATTGTATGTTGTGAACCAAGCATCACAGATGTGTGGCATGCTCCAAAACAACTACCCATTACTCTCTCCTGTCTTACATTTGAGTAACATTTATCATGAGTTTTTGCATAATTGTGTTAGTTTAACTACCTAACCGATCTCCTCCTTTAACTATTGGTAAGTACTCTTTACTGTGTACCTCAATCAGTTTGAAAGATATTCTAGAAGAGATTTTTAAATTGGTGGTTGGTAAAATAAATTCAACCCTAGTTTTCAGGGTGTGAGCCAGATACCTCATTATTTTACAGCTGATAGGGAACATGGCCACGAAAGGCCCCAGTAACCCTGTAGGTTCAAAAAATCTGATAATTGTGAATGCATAATGTGAAAAGTTAAGTAGTTGCACGCTTATTATTTGTTTGTATACTTATTTTTGGACAATGATGAGAAATAAACCAAAATGTTCAAAAAAAGGAGCTGATCAGCTGGCTGAGGTTTTTGATCAGGCAGTTTAAGAAGTTAAAGATGGAGTCTACAGACTTCGGGCTCTGCTTTCCACTGCAACATTCACAGAGCACCCTCAGTCATGATGTGAATTTGACATGAGGTATGGGAATTATCTCCCAGAATTAAAAGGGAAGAGAAAGGTGGGTTCAATCCAGTTACTTTTGAAGATCTGGAAGCAAGTTGTCGTCGATTCATGAAATGAGAGCATGACATGTCAAGAAAGGAGGTTATGGACAATGTTTTTTGGAATGATCTTAAAACCAAGTTCTGGGATTGAAAACCTGGTCTGGAATGGTTCATTAATTTCCAAAACAGACACAGCCTTTCCATAAAGAAGCATCGGGGAGTGGAGTAAGGAAGTGAAGTATTTTTTAAATATTTTTTTGCGATCATGGATAGACAAAGAATGAGTTCAGAGACTGTAGACATTACAGAAGCATTATATGGAAATTCGTGGAAGTGGTGCCACTTCCCTGTTCTCCGGGGAAAAGGTTAGCTAGATCCACATTACACTGAAATAAAAATTACTACAAAAGTACATATTATATCATTTCTACTAATAAAATAAATTACATACATTTGTGATCAATTAACTTTGCCAAATAATATTTCAATTTTTTGTGCTGTTAAAAAAGTAACAAAAATTAATTTTAAGAGTAAACTAAATTAACAATGTTGTAAATGTATGGCCCAGTTACCCAAACTTACCTTATTGAATTCTAAGGTACTTAAAAAATGTTGACATATTTAAAAAAGGAATTTCTTTATAACTTTGTCATCTTTAGTTCTGATTCCGAGGGAAAATGGGTTCTTCCTAAACCTGCATGTTTTATTGATTTTGGATGGTCTTATTAATTATAAAGGAAAATGAAGTCAACCACTTAACAAAAATAAACAAGTTCCTTATTTCAGCATCACTTTAGAACTGAAATGTTAATTTTAAATGTTGGCAGTATGCTTTAAATATTTCTTATTGTTATAATACTTTCTGTGAGTGTTATTTAATTTTATTGTTCATAAAATAGTTTTTTTTGTTGATTTAAAAGTTTCAAAAAAGGAAATTATTTATTTTATTGTTATGAATTCAGCCAATTTTTCAAGTTTCAAATCTATTGATTGTATGTGCTTGGTACTTTCCCTAACTCTTAGTTAAATTATATCCACGCATTTCAGTGTAACGTTTTGGTGTTTTAGCCTTGGTGTTGGATGTATGGTAAATGTTCTTTAATAAGTATTCTCGCAATGTGATAAGATAATTTTAAAAAATGTACTTCTTGAAAGCTATTGTTCTTGAAAATCTTTCAATATTGGTCTTTTCAGCCTCTTCCTTTTTTAATTATTTTATTAGTATTATTATCTTTTATTTATTTGTTTTTGCTAGTTGATTTCAGAAATGGCTTGTTGGAAAACTGATGAAGATATTGCCCGGGATATGGATATTTTGTCTGGAATTCAAAGTTCTGAAGAAAAAATTAAGTCTTATTCATCATGGGGTAGAGGTCAAAAACTGAATGTGCACAGTGATATCAACACATTTCCAGAACCCCAAGAAAAGACAGATGTTGAAGAATTTAAATGGTTTACAGAGGTATCATTAAAATTGTGTTGTTGAAATTTAAAAAGTGAACCTTGATAATTATAGGATTTTATATTGTTGATCAAATTGAATTTTGTTCATGTGGATTGAGTTTTGCAAGATTTCATACTTATTTTTTTTAAATTTTTCTTGCACAAAAATTATGTACATTGCAATTTTCTTTGATTTGTAATTGATTTCCTGGGCTCATGGGATTTCAGCCATTTTACATAAGTGTGGAAGTAGTCTGATATATTCTCTCTTCTGTTTTTCCATGTATACATCCCAGATTATAGAAGAATCCGTGTAAGAATGAGCTAAAATAATAGTTCGCTAAACAAATAAATATCACGAGTATTCAGAGTACCCCTTTGCCGTGACAGCTGTTCGGCCATGACTCTTCGTAAAGTGTTTATGCTTGTACATGACTCCTGTTTCATCGTGGCTTCTCATGGTTCACAACCATGTAATTAATTAAAAAAATAAATTTATAAATGCTAATCATGGAACCACAGAACGTTCTCGATCACAGCTCGCACAGGACTCTTTCATATGAAAACCGCACAGGAAACACTTGCATTAGTACACATCTGACATTCATCTTGGTTTTTAAATAAACATAATTCTTATCACATCAAAAGTAACTTCAATGTAATTTTTATAAAAAAAAGAAGTTTTACAGAAGAGCGCAGTAGCACTGCTCTTCCTAATTCAATTGTTTCTTGTGGCAGACTATATTTTTGTCAGATGAAGACATGAAGCGTTGAAGCCTTTTACAAACGAACGAATGAAGGAAGGAGAGTCAAATGGATGAAGGACACAACAACCTCAGAACCTTTCGTTGTGTTGCCAGAAAGTCATATAATAATATTATTATTATTATTATTATTATTATTATTATTATTATTATTATTATTATTATTATTATTGTTATTGTTATTATTGGTGACATTGTATATCAAAAGTACTTAAACAACAAAATTCTCCATTTTATACCAAGAAGAAAACATAACTAAGATGTGATGTAAGCACTATGAATTCTCCCCTCCTTCACTCAACCACTGTTCTTCCGATATATTCTTTGTTTCTGCAAAATAATTCTTTCACATGCCGTTGCCCCAGTAACATAGTATAATCTTGTTTCATTATTTGATTGGTATGTAGTTAGTTACAAATTTTTACTTTCTTGTTTGCAGAGTAATATACGTACTTTAGAGAAAGTTATGTAATACTGTGGAAAATCGATTTCGATATTTCAACGGAAATACATGGGTCCCTTGATACCAAAAACGTGGTACCTTTTTAAAAATGTCCATCTGTCGACCTATTCTGTGTACATAAACAACACTAGTGCCTAAACCTCGCGAAGGATTTTTTCCAAAACGAAGAAACTCCTGTCAATCTGGCCCGAGTCAATGCTCTGCAATTTTGAAAAACGTTAATTTTTGGAGGAACTTTACATGAAGCCCTTGGGACAACATCAAAATGTTCCCAAAAATGGCTCTTTAAATTTCTTGTAAGAATAGAGTTAAATTACACTTATAAAAGTGGCATAAGGTCTGATTTTCACTCTTAACTCTGAATTTTCGATGATTGTAAAAGTTTGAATTTCTTTCGGTGGCTTCCTTCAACTACAAAATTGAAGATAAAGATTTTCTTTCAAATGAAATTGTTGGTTCATTTAGTTTGTTTCATTAAGGTCATGGACATTTTGTGAAAAATTTAGTAAATTTTCTGGCAATATTGCTTGCATTATGTGCAATATTACAAAGTTACAAAAATACAATTTTCTCAAAAAATGCTCCAAATTTTTTTTTTTTAACTTTTGGTAGGAATAGTGCTAAATAGACTGTGAGAAGACATAAATGTCATATTGCCCTATTCTTTGTTTTTCAAGAGTGCATGTGCTTTAAATGTCTTATAAAGTTAATCGAAAACTGAAAACTTTTCTGTGAAAATGAGTTCAAAATTCCACATTTTTAGAAACGTTCAAGTGTTATTTTCTCTAAAATTACTTCAAATTTTTCTTCAAACTTTTCCAATGAATAGTGCTAGTTGCATCTTTTTAATATGTCATAAAGTTCATTTTGGGGTATTGTTTTGTTTTTTAAAAATTAAACAATGTAATTTTTTTAAAATATATCTCACGTGTTTAATATGCACACATCTAGTGATGAATACATTATTCAATTTGTAAGTAGAAAAGCTTCAAATGATTTTCAATGAAATTTTTCAAAAACACAAAAATTTTCTGTTGAATAGAGCTTCAAATTTTGGGTTTAAACGACATATTTTTCAAAAGGCTCCAAATTTCTCAATGAAAATTCCCTTATAGTAAAAGGTTTTAATCCTCTTAAATATTTTGGTTTTACCATTAAGAAACCGAAAAATTGAGAACATTTAAAAAATGTACTTTTGGGGGCAATAGATGGCAATGGTAAGAGGATGGTGTAAGACCCGATAGCTAACCCAGATGAAAGGAATGAGAAAACTAATACGAGAAAGTTGATGCCATTTTGTAGCCCTGCTAGTTGTTTTTTTTTTACCATAAGATATCTTCTTCTGTGGCAGGAATACCATACTTTTTGGGGGTCAGTAAATGACCTTTCTCAAGACCTCGATGCACTAAATTCAGCAATCTATTTGTCTCGGGTGTTAAATTTTAGCGAGAATCAAGAAGTAATAAATGAAGTGCACAATTCAAAAAAAAAGCGGTAGTATGGGAGAACCTTCATCAAATACTTTTGAATTGTTATCTTCAAAGAGAACTAAAAATTCAGCAATGGTAAATTACATGAAAAGTAAACTATTGGTACTATAAAAGCACACATTTTCTTATTTTATTTGTACATGTTACATTAAATCATAATATTACATCTTGTATCCTAATACTTCCGCCATCTGTTAAAAAATCGATTTTGCCGCTGAGCTGAGCTGTTATGCAGATTTGGGGGGGGAAACTAGTACAGTAAAACCTGTCTAAGGCGAAATACTACCTTCACCAGAAAAAATCGCAGAATGGACTATTTTTCAATGCAAAGTACACTGGATAAGTTAGAAACCTGCCTAATACAGAAACAAAGGAATTTTTAGCGTGACATTTTTTTAAAAATTCTGGACATTCTGGAAAACAAATATAGTTTTAAAATTAACCTGTCAATGTATCAAAAATGAATATTACACTTAAGGGGCCTACGAGACCGCTTCCTAAAATTTGAATATATATGACAGGACAAGTGAAATAATTTTTAATAGAATTTAAAGAATATTTGTTAGATATATTGTATAGAATATAATGTACAATTAAAAATAATATTTAAAGAAAATAAAGAATACCAAAGTATATTTTTAGTATTTCTACATGATCAATGGCAGATTGTTGGGTGGTGCCATGGCACTACCAACAAAAAGGAAGGAAAAGAAAATTTTCACTGCAAATATGTGTATAAAATATGTTAGTCATTTTCTTTGTATCTCTGGGGGACACCATGTGAAGCAGGCAAACTAACTTTCTGATATCTATATGTTCCAGTACAATTGTTTTGTATTTATCATTATTTTTTATCTTATACATGAAACTAATACTATATGTAACTGTGAGATATTTTATTTTTGTATATGATTGTGAAGTGAGCATTATTGTCTGTAAAGAAATAAATGAACATAACATTGCCACATATTACTAGAGGCTGACATGAAATTGAATTAATATATAATTAGATGTTGAGATTGTTAACGTTATCTTTTTCAACATTTGTTTGAAAGAGACACATTATTTGTGAATTGATGAAAAATTCCACCATTTGGTAAATGCTGTAAAACTTTCTCGATGTGGATTGTGAGTAATATGAAAATCTTTCCAGTATGAACAGAAACTAGGGTTCTTGAAAATGTTTGCTTTTGTATAATGTAAAATCTTGTCTAAAACGGAAACAAATACTGGTCCCTTGAGATTCTCATGGAGCAAGTTTTACTGTGGATTTTTCTGATTTGTTAGTGAAAATTTTGTAAGTTAATTGCATCATCCCTTTACTTCTTATTATTTTATTGATAGGAACTTTATTACTTATGTTTTCAGGAGGAAACGCTTGGAAAACTTCCTGATTCTATTGGTCGGGGGAAAAGATTGGAAATTCTTAAAGCAAATCTTTATCGAAGCAAAGAAATGGAAGTACATGAGCAGTTGAGAGAAGTAAACGACCTTTTATGAAAGATTTTTTCCCCCTATACATTTATTGATTCAGTAAATGTTATACTTGCATTCATACTGCAGAATTGATAAATTAAGACATTTCTTCCTTTTCATAGGTTATGGGTCCTGGTTATTCCAACGCATTCATTGAAGAATCATTTAAGAAGCGGTTAGGTTTGAAAAATGGTAAGTAGAGTTATGAACTATTATTTAAGACTAAAACTTGAAGTCTTGACTTCATCTATAGTGTCCATGACTGATATATTGTGTTTCTTTTGCAAATGAATGTTTAAATCAGTTTTGTCAGTGAGATTAGACTCTTGGTAATTCTGTTTGTTGTATTATTTTTCTCTTTCTAATGCTGTTAACTGTGGGTTGTACCAAACAGTTTATTTAAATGTTAGGTGTGACCTTGTGGTCTGTTTCAATTAATTTTTAAGCCTCCTATTTTCTTATTTTGTCTTGTTATATTTGAAATATATCTAGCATTTGCTAGAGGTTCTTCCTCTCCATTCTTTTCTTTGCATTCTTCACTTAAAAGCGTCAACAGCAGTGTAAGGAGACCTTGATACCCGCTGAATGGGCAAAGTATTTCTTTTATTCTCTGAACAAAAACAACTTTTCGCAATACAGATGCCCTGTTAACAGTCATCTTGAAGGGCAGATGAGTGGATGATTTTGTCCCTCTTTGAGGGAGAGAATGGCCTGAGAAGCAGAGAGGAGTAATTGTAACCTTGCAGCCGAAGTGAAAGCAGTGCCCCTTGGAAATGGCGGTCTTGGCAACGAAAATGCATGTTGGGGACCGAGGGGTTGATAGGTCCAACACTATGCTGCTTACTCCAAGCATGTGATTGGAGGAGTATTTTATGCCCAGAATCATTAGTTTTGGGACTTACACCATGTTAATGACAAATGACAATGGTAATACAGCTTAGTTTTTTTTATGATGGCCGATGGGATTCGCAAGTAGAGGGGGAAGCTGAAAGTGGTGGGGAAGGAGCTAGGAGACAGTGCTCACTCGTGTCTGACACGTCTGCCTATCCCAAAAACTAAATTTGTTCAAAGAATTGGTTGCCTCGACTGGGATTCAAACCTGGGCTTTCTAATTTACGCCCAGCTGCTCTAATCACTAAGCTACCAAGACAACCAATCTTTTGAACAGTTTTCATGAGTGCGATTATCGCTCCTTTTATTATATATAATTGTCACCTTCCTGTCACCTTGTTGGACAAACAAGGTGACGGGAAGGTGAAAATTATATGTATCAAAAACATTAGCCTTCTGCATCGCACACACTAATGTTCTTAAAAATTAATTTGCTGTAGTGCCTTCGCTCAGACGTGGAGAAACATCAAATTCACATGATGGCCTGGCTCTGCTCTGATTATCCACATCTTTTCCACTGTTACTGGTACTCATTTCCTCAGTATCATAACTAGTACCATTATCACTATCTTTACTATCATTTGCATAATTTCCAGTTTCTTTATCATGAAATCGTTAGTTTTATTGGATATTATCAATGTGTTTACATTAATACGATGCATTAAATAATTGTGCAGCGAATCATTGAAACCATAAACAGTAGATTCCATGTTCTTCCTCTGTTTATTAGGTGTTGAAAATGAACACAGTCTTCTGATTCAATAAAAATCATCTCTTTATTATTTCTACAAATAGATATTTTTGAAACACACTTAGCAGCAACCACTCCCTTAAGAACTGCATTGATATTTTTTGACACCTTCTTTTGCTTCTCTCTTCATGAATTGACATACTTCATCATACGACTTCACGCATCTGACTGTGATGGACTTCCTTATGCAACTTGCTCTGAACTGGATGCATTGCAAAAATCATTTTAACAGAACTTCACACAAATCAGTTCAAATGCTTTACTCTAGTAGCTATGCAATTGAAAGCTTGCACCTCACAGAGATGAAAAGTCAAGGTCAGTGTTTACACAACTGGAGTAGGGCTGTCAACGTGCTGAAAAGGGATGCGCTCCGACCGAAAAATGATTAAGTTTGAGGAATGGGCTTTTCTGGCAGCTCTGAGCCCACAACCTTCAGTGTCAATGCTAAAATAATTTGTCTGTACTCCCTTCTAGTAGTTTGCAGGTACTTTGATCATAGTAAACTAAAAGGGAGTTAGCCAGTCTTAGTTATTGCTTCTCGGGAATAGAAGGCAATTTAGGATAGGTTTTTGAAGGTAATCAACAATAATTATATCATTAGATGGGATGCTAGAAATATGAAATGGGAGAATGAAAAAATGAAAATAAATAATGATAGTAAAGAAGAATGAAAGAAGGTAAACATTTAGTAGAGAGAAGACATGAAGAGTGACTTACAAGCTCTCAGGAGTTAATAATGTTGGAGTTGAAAACCCAAGGGGTCTAGTATGGCTTCAGAATTATAAAGATGTCTCACAAGTAAGTCGAAGCAACACCACACTTGAGCGGTTCCAAAGTAATATTCAGTACTGCAGCTGGGGCATGGGAGAGGATATCAGAAATCAATGAGTTCGAGGAAAAGTTTTGGTAGTACAGATGAGGCTTTGTGAGGCTTCACTTTGTTTGACCTGTCTGCTGAGGTTAGTGTAGCGTGGGTGCTAGAAATAGTGCTATTAATTCACCAACCAATCAGCATTTCATGATGGCCTTGCCTCATCTTAACTGGAGCACCAACAACCTGCTCAGAAAGTGCTACTGTTAGACAGTGACTCCTGGAGGAAGTAGAAATTGATGTTTGACCTGAAAATGTTTGCATTAATGAGGGATTATAAATGAAAACTATTCTATTTTCAAATAGAGCTCTCCTCCCTTCTTTTCTCTTTTTATAACATTTCTTTTGAAACTTAATCTTCTCTTGATTCTTCAAAATTTGAATTTAATACTTTCCACTCTTAACTTCTTTTTAGATCAGAAGCCTGCTTGTTCAGATTTGTCTGTTGATCAATTTCAAGATTCTGGACAGACTGATAATATTGATAACATTGGTAATTATCAGAATGAATGTGTGGATCCTAAATCAGCAGATTCAGAACCAAACCATGTACCCAAGGTTATCAAGAGCCGACGAATCCAACGTCGATATCGAAATGCTCTTTTGGAAAGTCTGGAAAGAAATCCTGAAAATACATCTGTTAAAAATGAACAGACTGAAATAGGTGGTTCCTTGGCAACAAGAACTTGTTTGTTTGGAAATAAAAGTTCAAATATCCCTCCTGCTTGTTATTTACCTGGAAAAAACTTAGTATCTTACTCACCGCAAAAAACTCAAGTTTCATTTGAATACAAAGAATCGGAATTTCCCACCTTATAAGATAGATTTCGATATTTTATTGGAGTGTTGTATATTTTTAAGTACATTTTTATAAATTAATTGAATTTGTACTGTATAAATTTGCCAGAATTTCATTACATGATGCTGGATACAAAAGTGATACTTGAAATTGAAAATAAAAGCATTCAAAAGATTTCATTACAGATTGTTTATTAGTGAAGCAGCAGTTCCTTATCATAGAATTTGCAATTGAACGTTGAAGTTGTAAAATTATTTTTCAAACAAAAATGTATCCTATCTTTATTTGGTGAAAGGTAAGCCAACATAATAGTTTGTTGCATTTTTTTTTTTTTTAAATTAATAGCCAGGTAATACTTTAGAAATCCAATGGCTGAAATATTTGACATTAATTTTCAAAGCTTAAATCTAATTCTTTGACATTTTCTATAAAAATATTGTACGTGCATTTCTATTTGTTCTGCTTGAAATTTTTATAACTTCATTATCGTCTATCTCACCAGAGAAGAAAGATTTGAATATTAGTATTATTAATTATAGATAATGCTGAAAAAATTGAACAAGATCTGAGAAAATGAAGATAAAATGAAGCAGTTGAATTCCAACTACAGCAAATAGGTCATGCAATGTTTGAGAATTCTGGAAAAATAGTTTCTTTTGATTATGCCCTGTAATACCCATAAGTAATGTGACTTCATTTCATGAGATGCATTCACTGTTTTAAATGCTCTGAAAAGTCATAATCATCCATGGTACACTACTATTACAACCAGAAATAACGATTAGAGATGAAGAAAAAGACTGTATTTGCAGTCTTGTTGGACAAAGTGCCAAGTGCAACTTATTTATACCGAAAGTATGAAGTGTTGTTTGTTTGTTTGGTGGTGTGTTTTTAATTTTTTTAAATTTTAATGTAAAATCTAGAAATTTATTACAAGTGTTGATTGACTATAGTAATCTGATTTTCATAACTCCACAAATAAATGTAATTAGAAATGCATCCCAATGTTGAATAAAATATGTGTATAATTCTTGGATCTGAATCACTTTTATATTGAGTATCATGTAATGTACCTCAGTGAATTGTATTCCCTTAGGTTTTGTTAATTACAGTCCCTATTGAAATATACTTTCTAAAGCTCTGATGTAACAAAAGGTGTCCAGAATAGCAGCTTCCAGTTTTTCTAATGTATTCCTTCAAAATTTACTCGTGTTAAGCTTGTGATATCAAATAGGTTACCAAAAAATATTGATGTGCCTTGTGTCAATCCTATACAAAGTGGATGACTTGTGTATAACTTCAGTATAACAGAAAAATTATTAATCAAGAAAAATGAATTTAAACAAAGTTTTTGTGTTTAAGAAATCTGGTCATAGCATATATTGTTTTTTTATTATTTTTTTTATGAGATTAGTAATAAGGCCGGATTCAGTTTGGATGAAGTAAAGAAATCAACAGCCTATACTAGGGTCTGTTTGTGCATATAAGAATGTAAATGGTTTTTTGACAACAATCTCATTAAAATAATGAAAAATGTGCTTCATTTGAGCATAAATTATATTATATAAATTAGATTGAAACTGTTTTATTTACATAGTAAAAATGGATTTCAAATGTGTAGCAGAGTGAAGTGTATGAATGTAAGCACGGAAATTGATTCAAAATGTGGCAAAAAAAAATTTAGTCACATCCTCTCTGTTGACTTCAGGAGTTTTAACTCCTTATTTCTTGTGAATAAAATCCTTCCATTTTAGGAAAGATGATTGGTTAATTCTTTCTGGTATTTGGAGTGTATAGTAGTAATTTAAGGAAATGTATTTTTCAGTAGGAATACCTTGATGTTTCTTTTTCTGTACTGATATTTTCTTCAGAGATTTTTAGATATAATAGTGCATATGCTGGTTTTCCTGGCTGCTTCCTCTAAATGACTTCCAGAACATTTGTAAAATGTATTGCGCTTTATTCTCATACGACATTGGGAATAGAAGTGAACGTATGTTCTTTCTAGAGCTCACAAAAACAAACCTACTGGTCATTTCACAACATCTCTGCTTTCTAGGTGATATCAGGGTTCTTGCAAGGATTGGGTCACTGTTGTTTTTATTTTACTGTGCTCTAACTTCTGATTTTTAATATGTTTTGATGTATTTAAGGAGTAAATTATTTTTATAGTAAACAAAAATTACTGTTGTTAAAGAATATGAACAAAATGAATTAAAAGTAATATTGTAAACTATTTTTTAGACAGCTATTTATTAATGAATTGGTTATTCTCTTTCTTCTCTACAAAACAAATTCAGTCAATGTTAAACTTTTGTAATAAGACTACTTGTTAACTATTGGCTTCTATTTCTCCATCCGTTTTGTTCTTCATCTTTATAACAATTAAAATAACAATCCAAAAGTTAATTTTGGTTTGTTGAGTGGTATTTTAATCTTTTTTTTTTTTTCTCTCTCTCTCTTTTTCTTTTAACTGAGAGTTGTTTTTAGTGCCAGATATTGTTGTAACCATACCTATTTGAAGAGAAATATTACTTTCTCCAACAGCTGTCTAAAAAAAAAGTATTCTTGGAACTGTTAATTTCAGTATTGTTGTTTTACCCTCAAAAACAAACTGAGAAACATAGTGCCAACCTAGAATAAAGATTTATTTGTAGGAAAATTCTGTATAATTCACATATAATTTTTGTCCAAAGGGGATGAAAAATTAGCATAACGGATGAGTTGTCATTTAGTGAAGGTATTGAACTGCAATTAATTAAAGATAATTGTTTTCCTAAAAATGCATTTGCAATTTGAAATCATCTATTGCATAAAAATGTTGTTAAACACAGAGTATAATAACATTTGGGCTTAAACATAACGCAAAGTAGGATACAGGCTCCAAACCGTGCCAGTGAATATAATCACATCATCACTCCTATGTACATTGGAATCTTAAACTGTATTCAAAACTTTATAAAATTGTCTTTAGATGCAGTGAAATCTGTGTGCAGGTGCTCACGCTTGTGTGTGTGTGTGTGCACATGTGTGTGCATTTAAGGTGATGGGAGATTTTAGGTGGTTCTGTGGTAAAAAGTCTTTGAAAATCATAAAGCATTTTAAATGTAAAAGTTATTTATATAAGAGAACTCTCTAATTTATTATTACTGTAAATTTTGTTAACTATTGATTTGCAGTTGTTTGGATTGATGAAAATGTTAAATGGTCCTGAATATTGTTTTAATAAAGAAATTCCATATTTGAAAATTTAGTTTCATTTGCTTATGATGTGAACTTTATGGAATGTACTTGTGAAAATCAGTGGTAAAGAATTTCAATATGAAATTAAAACATTTTCGTGCAGTTTTGAATTATATTTATTGAAATAGCTAGGAAACAGATTCAATGAATTTTTGCTACTGAGTAATTGACTTTCAGTAAAGAAGGACAGAAAAAGTGTCAACGAGCAAGAATATGAAATGCTCTTGACCAAAATACTGATGCAAATTATGCAGTTTTGAATGAAAAACTGTGCAAATGTGAATTTTTATGTTATGATTCAATGACCAAGTTTAACTGAATGAACATATTTATGTAATTGGGGGCAGCAACAATACCCTATTCCCACATCCAAAATAAATTAGAATGTACCTCAGAGGTAGGCCATTCTGAACTGTAGAATATTGCTGTGTGTTTTTTGCTATTCCAAATTATTTTCATACAGAATATCTTAAACTCCTATCTTGTAGGACCAAGGATATAAATAGATTCATAGTTGAAAACCTTAAAAGTGATGTGTGTGTATTCAACACAATTTTGATTGCACAGGTTTCTGAGAATATTACTTTCAGGGAACCAAACAATCATTAAAAAAATCACAAAATATTTGTAGTATTTATATGAAACTGATGTTGATAACCAATGTGATAAATGTGATGATTTAATTAACACATTAAATGATTGTTCATTTGACAGAAGATATTTACTAATAAATATTATATTATTTATTTAACAAAAAAAAATACTTATTTATAAATCCAAAAATTTAGATAACTTTAATATAAAACTAGCATAATTAACATGAGAGGCACCGACTTAAAAACATTGGAGGGGAACCAAAATTCTTTGAATTTTCAAATGTTAAATTTTTTTACAGCATCTTCCTTTGACTATAATATTGAAGATAAAAGATTTTTCTTGTGAATGAAATGTGTTATTTAAAATTAGACATTAAATAAGGTAATGTATAATGTTTTGAACATGAAAGAAGTCATTTTTAAAACAATTTTCTCCAAAATGCCACAATTTTTTTCTTCCTAGGATAGAGCAAAAGATGCTTCTAATTGTTGCAGGTGTAATTTTTGTTGAACTCCGTATTTTCAGTAAATGCAAAAATTGGAAATAATGTAAGAAAGTATGTGCTATAGTGGTAACTAGTTTTTCCATATTCCTATTTGTTTTAAACCTAGCATCAGAAACTGAACTTCATCTTTTCTTTTTTGCCCCCAAATGTTCTTTTCAATTATTGACAGTTTCATTTATTTATTTTATTTATTGATTTACTTATTACTTAACTAGTTGACTATGACTGATGGCTTATTTACTTAGCAGTTTACTAACTTAAATTATTGATTAAATTATTCATTGTTTGCTTAACTTATTTATTTCCTCTCGAGTCTACTTGTACTAACGCAAGCTGTTTTCCCACTCCCTAATTTCTGTTTCTCTAATTGTCTGAACCTTTTGTAGAAATGTTCCTAATTCTTTAATGAAGTGACACCTTTTATCACCTAATATGTTCTGGGCAAGTGTTGCATTTCTATGTTGAAAGTAGTAGTTTCCCATTCCCATCCATTTTCATCTCCATGTTTCTGTGGCACAGCAATTTAAAAGAATATGTATCCAATCTTCCCTATCGCCACAAAGCACACAGATGCCATTACCATCCATGTCTTTCAATCTACGTTACATCCACCCCCCCGACCTTGAACCAAGCGTATCCCCCTCTTGCGTCCCTTCTAAGGGTGTGTAACTTTTGCAACCCCATACCAGGCTCGTGTGTGATTGTGCCACTAAGGAATGTTTTTCAGCCGTTGCTGCCAGGATATCATGCCACTTAATCTGCAAATCTGCCTGAGATTAACCATTTTATCTCACGTTATCCCTTCTGACTCCAGTGAAACTTCTCCGAAAATGGAAATGTGATAGTATGTATTTTGTAAGTATACGATTAAAGTTGGTGAAAAATAATAACAACCCTGAACTTGGTATAAAGATGAGAGATATCCTTGTTAGTTGCAGGCAATAAATTCCGATTTCCTTAAATAGGGAATACTATCCAATACATATGATGTAACCTACCAATAATCTAAATGGTTCTTAAACTCAAACTTGCTATACTATCACACTAAAGCAGGTACTTAAAACCTGTGTACAATACCTGTAAAATACACTATGGGCATCCCATCAATACGTATGTTTGGACTTATCACTTTGTTATTACAAAAGCCATTTTTCATATCCCCCTTAACACATTACCAAATTTAGTTTTAGACAAATGAAATTACATTTTATTTACATCCAACCCTGTCAAAAAATAAGCATATCAAATTAAAGTGAAATAATAATTCAACGTTCCTAAGATAAATATACAAATGTAAGATGAAAATTAATAACTTCTTCCCAGATTTGAAATGTATCTTAAAAATATTTATTTTAAAGCATATAAGGAGGATATCAGCAGTAACTACTGCAATGCAAACAGGAATGAAATGCTGTACAAATATGCTCATAGAACTAAAATTTGTGTACAGAAACTAGCAGGAAGTTTATACGATTTGGCCAAAGTTGGGAGAAGATAATTGATTGATGCATCAGCCAGGCAGTAAAAATAAATCTGTATGAACGATAAATTATTTCGGTCTTCATCCACTTATTATTCACATTGACCACAGGGCGCTGAGTGAAAGTGATTGTCCAAATGAGGTGTCTAGTGTGCAAGAAGTATTTTGACAAAAAAAGTGTTGCACAGAAGCAAGGTTGTTTTATGTAAACCATGAAGTCCGGAACCTCTTCGCCAACTTGGAAATATGTAGTAGAGTGTCACTGTGGTAATGGGGCAGATCCAGCCAATCATTTTGGAGAGGGCCATCAGATTTTTGTTACATAATAAACATTTTTTATTCTTTTGTAATAATTTTTGTATTGTATATATGATTCTATACAATATTATTTTTTAAATAATTAGTACTTAATTCTAGCAAAAATAAATTTCAATAAATTTTCTAAATGAAAGAAAGTAACAAACGAAAACCCTAGTTCTTTTGGGGGTGCATGGGGGAGGGGGGCATGGCCTTTATGCCCCCCCCCCTCCTCAGATCACCCAGTGTTATAATAGATAAGTACGGTAGGCAGTGAAATTAGAATAGAAAATCCTTTAAATAGAAATTTGCAATAGACACTGGAACTCTAAACTCTCACTAGCCTTATACCCTTCTAACCAGCTTAATTCTAGTTTATTATGTAAGTTATATACTATTCGTTGTCGCCATATACTTCTTCGCCTATCCTAGCCACCTTGTAATGGATAATGTCAACTTCATCTGGCTAAAGCCAGAAGTATAATAATTTTTTGCTGATTTTATAGTGCAAAACAAAATTAATAAATAACAACCTGAAAGCAAATATAAAATATGTAAAATAAACAGAGCTATGCTACGAGGTAAGGAATCTAGGTCAGTTTACCATGTCTTGCGTAGAGAATATTTGTTACTCTACCACGGGATCATCGAGTTTTAGAAGTATTCAAATACACAAAAGCAATATTAAAATAGATCGAAAATTTCCAGGAAACTGTTGAACTCTCTCGTTTCTATTCAATCCAAACAGAAGCTTGACTCTATACTATAGAGTCTATAGACAACAGACATCGTAAATGTAGGTACCATCTACTGTAAGTAAAATTCGTTATATAATTATAATTTTACTTCAGTTTCAATCATTTCTGTTTTTCAATTCCATTCGTCGAGAAAAAAATCATAAGAGGGAGCGCTCCTAAATTGGTAACACTGTTACGGATGCTGAGTAATCACGTTCCATCAATGATCACACACACTTCTTTGTTTAATTGTAACCGTGTGGTGATCGCAAAAATGGCATCAACAGTAAGCTTCAAATCAACTGTTGCTGTTATTAGCAGAGTTCCTAAATTAACATCACATTTAATGAAAGTATTGCCGTCCGTTGAATTTCGGAATATACAGCTTGGTAAGTGTACAGAAACAAGACAAGTTTGAGTACCAGATCTGGGTCTCCTGACTTTTACGTGCGCGGATCGTTTTGGTATTTCATATCTAAGATTCCAATTGGACAGTTGTTCGCAATATCCGAATGAATGGGGTTTGTGACTTGACCGTGAGGAGTAAGGGCAGGCAATGTCAAGGCCTCTAGTACAATACATTGAATTGTATTGCAGGTGATCTTGACAATCTACATCTTTAAAATTGGAATGAGTTTCAGGTCTTATAAATAATGAATTTATAGTACCTATTAAGATTAAGTCGTCAGAACTGTGAAAGTTCACGAAAATCCGTAATGAATCACAGAAACGTCGGATCCATTCAACTAAAATGTAAGACGCCTCCCTCCAGGTCACGGTCTCATAGTAGGGAGTTTGTGGCTTGCACCACCTCGAACGTTAAAGCTGTCATATCAATACGGAGTTTTATGCAGGGCCCTATAACTCCCATATAACGTGGTGGAGACCATTACGGTGGCGCGCTCTGCTGCATCACCTGTACATGAACTAAAACACGAACTGCTGCCAACGATACTTTAAACGTGCGTGGCTACTGCGTGAGTTCGAGGGTCGCAAGCAGGCCCATAATGTTGCAAAAGATAACGTCTATGTTCGCGCATTCTTCAGAGGTTTCTTATAAGTATATATTATGAATAATAGTACATTTATAAGACACTTTTCGTATTTCTCACAAATTAGCCAATTTGTATGTGGGAAAGTTGGCGAGCCTAACCTGCAGCTGCACCCGGCGACACTAGCGCTTCCTATAGTAGCAACCTCGAGCTTTGTCCCCAGTGTTGATGGAGAGTTGCCGGGCCCTGGTTTTATGCCACCACGAACATTACAGCGCTATCGATCTTCTGCGCATGCGCAGTTTAGGTGTCAAAACACCGCTTGAGCTTAGGCAGAAGATCTATCTTGGCGACAATTCGAGGTGGTACGAATTTCCATGTGCGCGCCACAGCGCAGGCACGCAATGCGCAGTTGCACTAAAGGCCTGTGTTCACGGTGGCATAAAGCAACGCCCTCTATAAAGGCATTAATTGAAGACGGCGTTGCGTACTTTTTATTTATTTATTTTGGTAGACAAGCAATAGCGATATATTAAAAATAAATATTAATAAAATATTTGTAATTTAATTTATTAAATTACTAATTTAATAAATTAAAATAGGATTTACAACTTAAAACTATTACACATGCATACAACATAGTCTATCCAGGAATTCATTACTTTCAACATGTCGAAAGGCTTATCCAGTTATCCTTGTCTGGGCAGATTTTATTATTCCCAACTTTCATGTTTTGAAGTGTTATCTGTGAATTTAAATCTGAAATATTAGATCTACTAAGTTTATTTTTTAAACATTTTATTCCATCCCAGATGTATGGTACATCACTATCTCTATTAAGTGAACTACAAAATTCTTTTTAAGTTCATAGTTTTCTCATCTTCAATAATAAATCTGGTATTTGCTGCCTTTTTAAAAATTTTATATAGTTTTGTTTGGTGAAACATTTGTGAAGGACAGCAAGAGCTTGTTTTCTATTTGTAATGGCTTGTTCATAGTTTTTATTCCACATTCCACCATAGAAGTAACTCTTCTCTGCATTTTGTGTGGGGGATATAATAGCTTCATGAATAATCTGAGTATTTCATATCTGTGAATTACATTAGAATTAAAAAATTTCAGACTATTAAAAACATGATTCATAGCAATCAACTCTATTAAATACCATCGAATCAGTCCTCTTTAAATTATATTTAAAAAACTTAATGGATGATTTCTCACAATCCAGACCTATGTTAATAATAATAGAGAAATGGTCACTTTCCCAAGTGTCATAATTTACTGTCCACGAGGAATAGAAATCTAGATTAGAAGAAACAAATGTCAAGTCAATTCTAGTTGACATTCCTTGTGAATTAGACATACGTAGGAGAACCAACATTGAGTGGGAACCTAGCCTCAAGATCATAAATGTCAAAAATAATTTCGTCAATTGGGCAGTTTCTCATGCTACCCAAGGATGTGAATTAAAATACCTCCTAAGACAAAGTTTGCTTGTTTGAAAACTTCATTAATAAAAGAAACCCATTCTGATTTATTAAAATCAGATGTTGGTGATCTGTAGCAAGCAACCACCAATAGAGATACCACATGAAGACAAATTTCTACCTCACCAACTTCTAAGTATTTGGAATTGAATTTCAAATCAGCCTAACTGGAGACTTATTCTTTTCTAACAAGGATGGCCAAACCACACTTTTGTTTACTTAATCTATCAAATCTAGTGTAATTAAAGCCTTTAAAATCAACAAACTTTTTGCTGGACAGCCACATTTCGTATAAAATAATTAAATATGCTCACAAACTATTTTTTTATTCAGGGTTTTGGGAATGGATCTTATGCAATTCCATTGTATCATTTTAAGGGGTCTAAACATGAATAGGAAAAAATAGAATTAGTAAAAACAAAACAAAACAAAACAAAACAAAACAACAGTAAGAGATTGTAAGAGAGAACCTTCAGACGAATTAATCTGTATCGTTCTATGCCACTCATTGTCAGCACTTATGCCAGGCACAATGTGTTTGCTGTTGATATTGTGTTTAGGCAGCAATAATGTTTCATTAGTAGTTTTTTTGTTACTATATTCATGTGTTATTAGAGTTATAGTATTACTATAGCCAGAGTTAGGTAGTATCGAAAGTACATGTATTTAAAATACCTATTTTTGATACTTTTGTATCGTATCAAAAATACTTTTTGACAGTATTTTGTATTTTCATAATACAAAAATAGTTTTTTTAATCTGCCGTTGAAAATTTGTATTTCAACATAGTCAAACCTGGATAAAACAAAGGTCGATAACACGAATTCTTGACATTTCGAAGCAATTTTTCATTCTCTGCAGCAGTATTTAGAACGACTTTGATAACTCAAAATTTTGCTAAAGGGAACATGGACCAGCGAATGAATTGGGTTTACGGGAACGTGGACAAACAAACGATACCTTGACCCACTGGGAGCACTATAAACGCTCCTACTCATTAAAGGTAGTTCATCGTATACTCCGTATAGAAAGTCTGTAGAATTATTTTCAAAGGAAGCATTAAGACCAATTCACAATGCAAACATAAACATAAGCATGGCTTAACAAGTTACGACTACATCCATAAGCGGACTCATTCACAATACGTTCGCATAAGCATAACACGTAAGACGTTAACTTATATAGCTTGCAAGCTTCTGTGCTTATGCTTAAGGAAGACAAAAGAAATGAACCAATCACAGTACGTTAACTCAAAATCGAGAATCGAAATATGAGCGAAGTCGATAACGAACTATCGCCATATGAGCCATGGACAGAGTCGATACCTCGAAATCGATTCTCACATCGGACCAAAAGTAAACTAGAATGTCTCACAACCAGTAGAAACACTTATTTTGCTTACGTATATGTTAGACACTGTGAATACATCAGTCTATCACTTATGTTAATGCTTACGTCTATGCGTTATGCTTATGTTTACGTTTGCATTGTGAATAGGCCTTTATGCCAAGGTTGCCAGAGGTACCGCATTCCTCTGCAACCCACATCGACCATTGCGAATGACTAAAAACTCCGCATTTTTACTATTTATTGATTTTTTTTGACAATTTGGATGTTCTTGAACTTGTGTGGCGTCGAGACGGACCAGACAGTCGATACACTCGGCTCTGAAGGTACACATGTTTAGAACCAACAGTTGGGTGTCTTGTGGGCAGTGGCAGCTCATGCTTGGGAGGGCTGCGTTAAAACAAATCGTACCTTAGTTATTTGAAGTTGAAATCCATCCGGCGGTCTTTCTTTGCAGCAAAAATGTCAGTTACCCTCTGGTTGAATTGTGGGATGCTTTATATCATTTCCTTTTCAACGGACAACACGGCAAGGGCACTTAATCTATCTTCTCCCATAGAATTCCTCAGAAATGTTTTCATTCTTTTCAATGTTGAAAAGCAACGTTCAGATCCACAAGTTATCAGAGGCAGGGCTATTTTTAAAAGTTTTATCACTTCAGAAAAAGAGGACAGAAGATTATTAACTTGAAAAAATTTGCAAAAACTTTACAACACCGCCAATACTTATGAACTTTTCTCGTGAATAGATGACCGACAGTTCTGTACGAAGTTTGTATCAAACCCGGGAAATAGTTTTACACACCTATTGAACAAAATTTCTGGGAAGTTTGTATTATATTCTACAAACTTGTCTTCTTGCAGCAATGACACACAAAGGTGATTCGTAAACTCAAAACGTGTACTAATCTGAGACAGAATGACATCATACTTCCTTAACTGCAGCTGTTCTTGTCTGCATCTGCGAAGAAATCTTCCTCTAGGGTATATTTTCTGCTTCAATTTCATAAGGTCCTACCAGGTCTCTCACTTTCTTAATTTCAGAAGTGAATAAAGAAACGGTTTTTTGGACTATGGCGGCAACTATGTTACGGCTCTGAACCTGATTATACAGGTATCTACATGTGGCATGATTTCATGGAAGAAATAAGCCACACACAAATTTCAGAATTTTGAAGATACTCCAATAAGTTGATTAATTTACTGTTGCATCGCTTGACGTCTTTGATTCAGATAAAATCTGATACCGTTCTTTCAATTCTTCGTGTTTTTCATGTACAGCGTTCACTGTACTGGATTTAAAATTCCATCTCGTTGAACTATTCGCTTATTAGTACATGAATCCAGGACTTATGTTCTATGTGGTGAGCGAGAAAAGAAAGCAGGAATAGCTGAATGTTTGAAGAAAAAATTCTTGATTTTGTGTTTTGTCTGGCAGATTTCTCCATAATCAAATTTAACTGATGTGCAAAGCAAGGAACAAAATACGCGAGAACCACTCATTACAGCTGCACCATCAAATCTTTGGTCTGTAAGCTTATGCTTTTCTTTTAAAATCTTTCCA